GGGAAAGAGGTACTTTTCTCCCTTTCTCACAATACAAGAACTGGGGGGCACTCAGTGAGATTGCTGAGCAGTCGGGTTAGAACAGATAAAAAGAAGTCCTTCTTCACCCAAAGAGTGATTCACACATGGAATTCACTGCCACAGGAGGGGGCAGCGGCTACAAGCATGGACAGCTTCCAGAGGGAACTAGATAAGCATATGGAGCAGAGGTCCATCATTGGCTATTAGGCACAAGGTCTAGATAGGAACTCTAGGTCTGGGGCAAGTGATGCTCTGTTAATTCTTGGTGCTTGGGGGTGGCAACAGTGGGAGGGCTTCTAGTGTCCTGACCCCACTGCTGGACCTCCTGATGGCCCCTGGTATTTTTGCCCACTGTATGACAGAGTGTTGGAGACTGGATGGGCCACTGGCCTGATCCAACATTGGTTTCTCTTATGTTCTTAAGCTTCATCTTTATGAAGTCAGTTGTTTGTTTGCATTGTTAAAAAGATTGGCTGGTAAACTCTGAGGTGAGCAGGGCCATAAACCTTTGCAGAAAGATTGCCTCTTAATGGGATAATCATTGTTCAACGATAGGTCTCCCTTGGAACCTGGGGTAGCTTAGTTTAGAGGTGGCCAATAGTTACCCTCAGCTCAGTTCACGAAATGGCTCTCTTTTCCTTCAAGGAGCCCTTTGAATTCAAGAAGCCGACGCGGCCTGCTTCCCGTAGCTCTCTGCGCGACTCTCTCCTCGATGGCGAACAGGACACTTCTGCACAAAGGCAGAAATCTGTCCCAGGGTTTATGGTATGCATCTGTGGGGAGAACAGGGTATAGATGTTTTGGCTAAATGTATTGGGGCTTCCTCAGGGTGGGGTCTGCCCCACCTTGGAACGGAATTTCTGGTTCAGAGAGGACTGGGTTGGGGGATGAGCCGTGACCACCTGCAGGGCTTGTCAGACTTATGGGGCAGCAGAAACTTGACATGGGAGGCTGGATGCTCTGACACATAGAGAGGCGTTTAGTAGCCAAGTGCTCATGGATCAAGGCAGTCTGTCTTTTAGCCAAGGAGCTCTGGTTACAGATTGCAGTGTCTTGGTGGTTCCCCTCAGTTTGCAGGTTTCTGAGTGCCACGTCCAAGCATTTCCCTTTAACAGAGGGGAAGTGAGACTGGAGCATAGGAGGAAATTGTCTGAAAATGATGTAAGAAATCAGAGCATCGTTCTCTCAATACTATAGCCTTTAACACACACTGCTTGTATTTTTAGGCCAGATTCCAGAATTTTGAGGACAAGAGACATGCTGTTAGAAATCACCATTTTTTTTTTTTTATAATGCAGTTCTTAATTCTGCATGTATAAAACCATAGAAAGTCAAGACCTCTTAGTATATAGGAGGAGGAAGAGATTGGATTTATACCCCCTGCCCTTCACTACCCAAGGGAGTCTCGGAGCGGCTGACAAACTCCTTTCCCTTCCTCTCCCCACAACAGACACCCTGTGAGGTGGGTGGAGCTGAGAGAACTCTGACACAAACTGCTCTTTTAGGAACAGCTGTGCCAGAGCTTGTGACTGACCCAAGGTCACATCAGCAGGTGCAAGTGGAGGAGTGGTGAATCAAACCCGGTTCTCCCAGATAAGAGTCCGCACACTTAACCACTACACCAAACTGGCGTGGAGAAAATTGTTCTTAGACGAAACTGCTGAGTACAAAATCAAACACTAGTGTTCAAAGTACAATTTTGGGAGGCAAGTTTGCACCCTCGTTGCCTTTTGGATGCCAGATATTAACACCTGATACCTGTGGCAGAGGCCTGAGGTCTTTAAGGCCTAAGATTTGGGGTGGGGGAATGCATTTCTGTGCATCTTAGTTGTGCAAGTAGCTTGGGACAGATATCTTTGTTGTTGGATGTCTGCTTTCAGCAAGCATGTAGGATCTGTATTTGCGGGTTTACAAAGGCGAAGAGGGGAGTTACTAAGTAGCAAGAGTGAAATGCTGTTCGGAAACTGCTTCTGGTGCTCTCCTTATAGAAGAAAAGCTGTAGATGTCAGACGAAAGTAGGAATGCAACCATTTAAACTGTAATTGGCTTTAGTTTCCTAGTGGTAAAAGTGAGGATAACCTGGGAAAGTGCAGTCCTGCGTGTCTGAGGCAGCTTTCGTTGAAGGCCCCTGGAACAGAAGATGAAGATGATGGATTCCTAGAAATTATGGATGGGCAAGATGTCAGTGTAAGTGACGGTGAATTTGTCTCTTTAACACCTTTGAACAGGAGTTGCTCTTGGGCTCAGCGGTTTCTGAGCTCTGTGCAAGCGGCCAGGGTAGAGAGTTCTACTGGGACAATGCTCCCTCTAAGCCGTGGAGTCTTGTGGGCCAAAAATTTTACTTTGTGAGCTACCGGCATTAAAGCTGTGAGCTAGCGGGTTGGCTACTGCATAAATTACTTGGCTCTGGAGCCCTCCTTCCCGAGCTAAGACAGAAATGTGTGAGCTGGAGGCTAAATAACTGTGAGCGAGCTCACACTAACTCAGCTTAGAGGGAACACTGACTGAGAGTACAAGTTCAGCACAGCGGTCAGAGTTTCACCCATCTCACGGGTGGCCTTGAGCATCCCTTTGTTCCCTTCTGAATAAAATTGGAGGCCTTTAGTATGCCTGCCCTTGGAATGGAAGAGACGGAAGAGAGTTAGGATGTTAAGTAGTACCAAGACACCTGGTACGGACGATGGGTGTGTGTGAGAGATTTCTACTGCTTGGCATTAAGGGGCTTTGTTTGGTCAGTAGGTAGGTGGAGGGGGGCATGTAGAGTGTAGAGCCACTTACTGGCCGAGTTCCAGAACACTTTGCAGGGTCTCCATCTAAGGGCTAAGAACTAGGACTGTGGGTTTCTGTGGTACCCAAGCCGCTGTTTTCACCAAGGGCACTAAATCAGTCAGTGAAATAAAAGAAGAAGAGAAGAGATTGGATTTATACCCCATGGCCCTTCACTACCCGAAGGAGTCTCAGAGCGGCTGACAAACTCCTTCCCCTTCCCCTCCCCACAACAGACACCCTGTATGGTGGGTGGGGCTGAGAGAACTCTTGACAGAAACTGCTCTTTTCAAGAACAGCTCTTATCAGAACTATGGCTTGCCCAAGGTTATCCAGCCAGGTGCAAGTGGAGGAGTGGGGAATCAAACCCGGTTCTCCCAGATTAGAGTCCGCGCACTTAACCACTACACCAAACTGGCTCTGTTTGACAGCTGTTGCAGTTACCACTAGCGTCAGTTGATATAACTGACCTTCGATGCTTCTTTCAGAATGACGAAGAGATGCCATTTGGAATGGCAAGTCTGTGGACTGCGCCTCTGGTGATGAAGACGCGGCAGGAAACCCAGGTAGGATTGGTGTCGAAGCCCTGTGGAGCTCAACCTGTTTGGTTGGGGGTGGGGAATTAATTTCCAGTGTAGTTCAGAGTCGTCTCTGTTTTGTGTCCATCTTAGAAGTATTAGAGTGATTTGCTTTTGAGGGGCTTCTCTTAAGTATGTTCATGTATAGTCTTGGTTATGGCACCGAAGTGCTGGAATTCCCTACCCTAATTTGTCCCCTTCTGTCATTGTATAGACTTTTCTGTCTCATTGGCCCTCCTTCCCGTTTATGTGTAATTGTAAGGATTGTTTAATTTAATTCTAAATAGATTTTTAAAATTGTAATAGTAAGGATTATTTTATAATTGTATGCATTTCTAAGCTTGTTTTAATGCTTTTTGGTTATCCGTTCCCTTGGGAACCCTAAGTTGGATGGAAAGATAGTTTTTAATTTTTTTAAAAAAATATAGAATTTGGGACTTCCTAGTCATAGGTGTTTGTCCTATCACCTATGATGACTAGGAAGTCCTGGATTCTATATTTTATACCAGTGGCACCTTTAAGACCAGCAAAGTTTAATTCTGGGTATAAGAAGAAGAGATTGTATTTATACCCCGCCCTTCACTCAGAGTCTCAGAGCAGTTTACAAACTCCTTTCCCTTCCCCTCCCCACAACAGACACCCTGTGAGGTAGGTGGGGCTGAGAGAGCTGTTGACAGAAATGGCTCTTCTTCAAGGACAGCTCTTGTCAGAACTATGGCTTGCTCAAGGTCATCCAGCAGCTGCAAGTGGAGGAGCGGGGAATCAAACCCGGTTCTCCCAGATTAGAGTCCGCGTACTTAACCACTACACCAAGCTTTTGTGTGCATACACACTTCATCAGATATCTGGGTATCTGAAGACGTGTGCATGCATATGAAAGATTATACCCAGAATTAAACTTTGTTGGGCTGAAAGGTGCCACTGGACTCTGTTCTGTTGCTTTCAGACCAACATGGCTACCAACTGAATCAATCATCATAGGTGTTAATTAGTGAAACCTGGGAATTCTTGGCCAGTGACTGCTGCTGTGAACGGACTCTGTATCTTTCTCGATTGCATTGCATTTTACATAATTACATCTCCCCTTGTACTTCCTATGCTTCGTGGCTGGTATAAGTCCATCTGGTGAGGATCTACAGCATGCATCTGACAAAGCGATCTCCAGGGCATGAATTTGTGCGCTAGAATAACCGAACCTCCTGCTTGTTTTTGCTGCAACAAGCTAACCTGGCTGCACTTCTAAAATCCCAGACATTTATTTTATTTAACTTGGAACTTGGTGCGTGGCTGCTTAACTCTGAACTGTCCAAGCCTACTTGCCTGTCTGTACAGGACTAGGGCTCTTTGGTATGTGTGGCCATCTGCCTCAGCCAGCGCTCTAATAAGATACAGGTTTAGAACCAATGCTCCCTCTAAGCTGTGGAGTCTTGTGAGCAAAAATTCTATGTTGTGAGCTCCTGGCATTAAAGTTGTGAGCGAGTGATTTGGCTGCTGCATAAATCAGTTTGCTCTGGAGCCATCCTTCCTGAGGCTAAGACCCAAATGTGTGAGCCGGAGGCTAAAAGACTGTGAGATAGCTCACACTAACCCAGCTTAGAGGGAACACTGCTCAGGAGCAATGCTCCCACTAAGCTGTGGAGTCTTGTGAGCAAAAATTCTATGTTGTGAGCTCCTGGCATTAAAGTTATGAGCGAGTGATTTGGCTGCTGCATCAATTAGTTTGCTCTGGAGCCATCCTTCCTGAGGCTAAGACAAAAATGTGTGAGCCAGTGGCTAAAAGACTGTGAGCTGGCTCACAGTAACTCAGCTTAGAGGGGACACTGGTTCAGACTCCTGCCTAGAACTTTGCTACATCTGTCCTGCCTCTGCCCTTTTACAACCTATCCAGAGCCTGTTGTCACCTGAAGGCAGCTTACCTCGTGAAGACCCTAGGACATTCTTGCTTCTCTGAGGGAGCTGGGAGTCCCTTTGATGCCTGGAGGGGTTGCTGGTTGAAGCCGCTGGCTGGCCTGGCAGTGCTAATGCCACTTTGGCTTTTGTCCAGAATAAACGGTGCAGGCCGCTGGGGGCAGAAAGCGAGCCGTACAGTATGGCCAAGGCTTCCCTGAAAAGAATGGAAAGACCCCAAGAAGAAAATTCACCGGGGGCCACCAAGAAGAGGAAAAGTGCTGGTGGAGTGCCATCTGAAGAACTGACGGTTGGTAGCCGGAGAACATAGCATGACCTCTTCTCCTGTCCCCACTGAGCTCACTTGTCTCTGTGGGCGCTAACCGGAGGAAGTGGCAGACGTGAGCCCCTTTCTCTGGGGCAGCAGGTGTTGGATCTGGGCACCTGAGCTCCTTTGCAGAGTCCTGAGGGGAACTTTTTCCCTGCTGTCTGTGCACCGTGACGTGCTCTTGTGGCAGCAGCTAGCGCTCCTCGCCTTAGTTCCTGGGGCAGAGCGGAGTTCGAGGATCGTGAGGAGGAGGAGGAGATTGGATTTATACCCGGCCCTTCACTCAGAGCAGCTTACAAACTCCTTTCCCTTCCCCTCCCCACAACAGACACCCTGCGAGGCAGGTGGGGCTGAGAGAGCTCCGACAGAAACTGCTCTTTTTCAAGAACAGCTCTGAAAGAACTTGTGACTGACCCAAGGTGACCCAGCAGCTGCAAGTGGAGGAGTGGGGAATCAAACCCGGTTTTCCCAGATTAGAGTCCGCGCTCCTAACCATTGCACCAAACTGGCTCTCTAAGAACCTTCGCCTATGTGGTTGACCTTGCACCCAGGTCTTTGCCTGCTGATTCCAGGTGGTGTAGAGTGGTTTAAGAGGAGAACCATTTGAGAAGGTGATGTCCAATGATGTAGAATGTTAGCGATCTAGTATCTATTTAGAATATTTCTGTGCCATCTCTTGAGAGTCCTGCTTGACATGGCTTACAGTTAGAAACTACGGTATAAAGTGAACGCTTAGGTACTTTAAAAAAAAAGAAGTGGGATACCAGCTAATTTGTGCTCAGGCTTTTTCCTTAACATATCTTGTGCTCTGAGCCTTTGTTGAGCCGACGTGCTCTTAAAAGTTTTTTTTAAAAAAGCCGACTCCGAAGTCCACCCGAAGAAGCAGACGAGAGTAGCCGAGCCAAAGCCGAAACCGAGCTGAGCCGAGCTGAAGGAACAACAAGCGAATCCCACCACTGGGTGCCGGTAGGCAGCCCCTGACCATGTATGTGCCCATAGATAGGAATAATGAAATATGTAAGCCGCTCAGAGACCCCTTTGGGGGGTTCGAGCGGAGTATAAGCTGAATGTAATAATAATAATAATAATAATAATAATAATAATAATAATAAACACCGTTCCAAACGTCTAACTTAATCTTTGCTTCCTATAGTGTAAACACCTTAACTGTAGCCCTGCTGCCTACCTGTTGTTTTCAGACATCCTTTGAAACGCATGACATTTTCTTCTGCCATCCATTGTGTTTTCCCCTTTCTCTTTGCGGTCCAAGAGCATAAGTTCCCTCTAAGCTGCGCTACGGGGGTGCTGGCACACAGAATTTTCGCTGCCAGCTCCGGAGCTTCTGCTTCTGCACACAAAGCCTTTTTTCCTCCACTCCATTGAAAACAATGGAGGATGGGGCACCTTCTTCTGGGGCCCATAGAATTGCACCCCTTGGTCCAAAATTCTTGAAACTTGGGGGGTGGGTGGGTATTGGGTGTAGTAAATAAGAAGCTGGACCGACTGGTGATGAAGGTGCATAGAAAGTTTATATAGATATAATGGTGAATATGTACACAGAGATATACAGGCTATCATACAGCATACCATGCCTTAGCTTGAGAGACTAAGTCCCCACCTAGCTTATCAAGCTGATAGCTAATATACTAAACCCAGCCAATCACTAACAAGGTGAATTAATTACCTACTCTAACAATGCTTGACAGAGAACACCTGCTAGTATAACACCTGGCTGTAAACACTTAATCACTAGCATGACAGCTAGGACTGTCAAACAGATCAAACTGATCTAGTAACTGCTTGCTACCTCTATCACCTAGACATATATCTCAATAGGGGGGTGAGAAGAGGCACTAGCAACTATGCTGCAAATTTGGTGCCTCTGCCTCAAAAAACAGGAGGGGCCCCCCAGAGCCCCAGATATGCCCAGATCGATCCTCCATTATAGCCTATTTAAAATAATTTATTCTGAGATGTTTACAAGGTTGTGGGAGTGATCTTTAAAAAAAACATAATTTACTCGATAGTCAAACGTAGACTCGCTCGCAACTTTAATGCCGCTAGCTTTTCTTGCTCACGAGGTAGAATTTCTGCTCACAACATTGTGAAGCTTAGAGGGTACATTGGCCCAGGCAGGTTTCCGAAAATTCCAAGCTCTGAAATCCAGAGCAACAGCCCGTCCCCCGCCCAGTCACCTCCGGTCCCCAAACCTGCTCTTGCCTCTTCTCAAATGGGCTTCCGGCATTCTGCTTCAGGAGAAGACCGTTTGAACACACTTCACCCCGTTGCTCTTTTTTCATTCCTTGCCTTCTCTGCAGGTCTCATCTTTGTGCTCCTTTCTAGCTAGTCTGCGTCCTCCTTGAAGAGAGGCATTAAGAACCGAAGGCAGCTAATCTCCAGATGAGTTTAGGTGTTTGTCAATACGACCCGAGCCTGCCTTGGTCCTCCGTGTCCCATATCGCTTCCTGTTTTCTTTCTCCAGAGTCAGACCCTTATCGGGGCACCGCTGTCATCCCCAACAGAGATAGAGAATATTCTGGACAGCGACCCGAGGGACCTGATTGGAGACTTCTCAAAGGTAAAGGGGTGCCTTCTTGCCTCCTGGGGCCTTGCCAAGTGTTTTCAGAAAGAGGGCCGGGCCGGGTGGGACTTTTGACCAGTGAGGCTTCTTCGCTCTTTTTTTCATGGTTTTTTTTTTTTTTTTTTTGGTTTTGCAAATGGATTTACAAAATACACATAAATATCAAGTCAAAGTTTCAATAAATTGCAGTTAACAATATCTTACAGCTAGTCATGATACAGGTACTAAACAGCACGGGTGTATTTCTGTGAGTAGGAGATCTTGTGAAACATGACTTTTCTTCTTCATATACGCTAAGAGTGAACTATAACCATTTATGATATATTTGTTTTGCTGGGAGTATATCGTTCGTTAGCATATAGCCCAGCACTGGGGCGAGGCTTCTGATTGGCCATTGGCGATTTGATTGGTTGTGCAGATTTTTAAGAACTATTGCTTTGGCAACAGCCGCCACCACGGCACAAGCATCTTCGCTTGATTGGCTGTGCAGATTTTTAAAAACCGTTGCTTTGGCAACAGCCACCACCACGGCACAAGCATCTTCGCTTGATTGGTTGTGCAGATTTTTAAAAACCGTTGCTTTGGCAACAGCTGCCACCACGGCACAAGCATCTTCGCCTGATTGGCTGTGCAGATTTTTAAAAACCGTTGCTTTGACAACAGCTGCCACCACTGCACAAGCATCTTTGCTGTGTAACTGAAGGTCAGCTGCGGCAGCCGCTTTGTGGCTGTGCCCACCTCGGTGTGTCAGAATTGCAAAGATCCCCACAGACTCTGAAAGATTGTAGACCCCTGCTCTGACCTGCTGGTTTTGGCCCAGCTGGGGTCTGAGTTTCCCTGGGGAGCAGCGAGGGACACGGTTCGTGTGCTTGCGAAGCTCCCTTTGCTTTCTGCAATGCAGAGATTGCGTAGCCAACTTCCTTGAATCCTAGAATCACAGACTTGGAAGGGGACCTACAGGGCATCTAGTCCAACCCCCTGCTCCATGCAGGACCAGCCTAGAGCATCCCTGACTAGTGTTTGTCCAGCCGCTGCTTGAAGACTGCCAGGGAGGGGGAGCTCAACCGGGAGCCCACCCCCCCCCCCCCCAGGAGCTGATTCCACTGTGGCACGACTCTGACTGTCAAAAAGTTTTTTTCCTAATGTTCAGCCGTTCTGCCCTCAATGTAAACCCATTCTTGCAAGTCCTCTCCTCTGCGGCCAACAGGAACAGCTCCCTGCCCTCCTCTTAAGCCGACAGCCCTTCAAATACTTCAAGAGAGCAGTCATGTTCCCCTTCAACCTCCTCCAGACTGAACATTTCCAAGTCCCCTCGGCCTTTCCTCGTAGGGCTTCTTGGTCTCCAGGCCTTTGGTCTCCTTGCTTTAACGAAGCCTTCGTTTTTGTTTTTAGGGTTACCTTTTCCACACTGTGGATGGGAAGCATCAAGATCTGAAATACATCGACCCGGAGATGGTTAGTTTCACAGGCTGCGTTCCCCTGAGTTGAGTGTAAACTTGCCTCTGTAAAAGCATGTATTTTGAACACATGAAGCCGCCTTAGACTGAGTGAGATGAGCCCCCCCAGCCCCTCCTCAAGAGGAAGAAGTCTTTTTAACCTTGGATCATCGATCATGGTGTCAGAACCTTGAAATTGACGCAGCTCTCCAAGGTCTCTGGCATTTAACGTTTCCCCCAAGTTCTGCGGCCTGAGTTCTTTTGAAAAACGGGATTGAACCTGATCATGCTTGTGTGCAAAGGGTGTGCTCTTCCACTTGAGTCAGGGCCCCTCTCACTTCAGTTTGGTGCAGTGGTTTGGTGCGCGGACTCTAATCTGGGAGAACCGGGTTTTGATTCCCAACTCTTCCACTTGCGCTGCTGGATGACCTTGGGCAAGCCGTACTTCTGTCAGAGCTGTCCTTGAAAAAGAGCCGTTTCTGTCAAGAGCTCTCTCAGCCCCACCTACCTCCCAGGGTGTCTGTTGTGGGGAGGGGGAGGGAAAGGAGTTTGTAGGGAACGAGAGCCAGTTTGGTGTCGTAGTTAAGTGCGCGGACTCTAATCTGGGAGAACCGGGTTTGATTCCCCACTCCTCCTCCACTTGCACCTGGCTGGATTACCTTGGGGAAGCCGTAGTTCTGACAAGAGCTGTTCTTGAAAAAGAGCAGTTTCTGTCAAGAGCTCTCTCAGCCCCGCCGACCTCACAGGGTGTCTGTTGTGGGGAGGGGAAGGAAAAGGAGATTGTAAGCTGCTCTGAGACTCCTTTGGGTAGTGAAGGGTGGGGTAGAAATCCAATCTCCTTTTCTTCTTCACATGGATTGCAAACTTGATTTCCTTGTTTCTGGAGACGTGCCTTTTAGTGGAGAGAAGACACTTAAGTGGGCCCTTGTGAGTAAGGAGACATTGTGGGATTTCGCTACACCCGTTTACCTGTTAAAATAAAAACAGCAGAGCTGCGTCCTTGAGGTCTAATTCTTGGCCGTGTTTTTCTCTTTAGATGGTTGCAGTGTTGAACGGCAGCTTCACGAGGTTCATTAAGGAGTGTGTGATAATTGACTGCAGATACCCCTATGAGTATGAAGGAGGCCATATCAAGGTACTGGGAACTTGTCCAGAGGCATCCCGGTTAGCTTGTGGAGCAGGAGAAGCATCTCAGGCTTGCCAGAGTGAATCCCAAAGCCCCAGACAAGGCCAGTCTCCTCCTGGAAGTTTGCCGCTGATAAAAGTTTAGCCTGTGGCCATCTTTTAGCAATCGTCATCGTAGGACTCCTTCCAGAGGTTGGGCTTTGGGGAGGCTCGTTTGTCAAGGAAAGATGGCCTGAACCATCCATCCAGTTTTGCTGCCTTCCCTGGACAAGGAATTGTTCCTTAGAACATGAGAATGCTGTACTCAAATTTGACCTTCCACAAAGACCTGAGGTTTTCTGTTTTCTTTGTCAAAGGGTGGATGGAGTGGGCTGTCTGTCTTGGACTGCAAACTGATTTCAAAGTTGGGAAGGAGGGAGGGCGTGTATGTGTATTGAGCCGCTTACTGAAGGAAGGTGAAGGTGTATCGAGCAGCTTACGAAAGGAAGGTGAAGGTGTATTCCTTACTGAAGGAAGGTGAAGGTGTATTGAGCCGCTTACTGAAGGAAGGTGAAGGTGTATCGAGCAGCTTACTGAAGGAAGGTGAAGGTGTATTCCTTACTGAAGGAAGGTGAAGGTGTATTGTGCCGCTTACTGATGGAAGGTGAAGGTGTATTGAGCCACTTACTGAAGGAAGGTGAAGGTGTATCGAGCAGCTTACGAAAGGAAGGTGAAGGTGTATTCCTTACTGAAGGAAGGTGAAGGTGTATTGAGCCGCTTACTGAAGGAAGGTGAAGGTGTATTGAGCAGTTTACTGTCCTCCAGAAAGCACTAAGATTGGGGTCCCAAAACCGTTTGACCCTCCCAGGGCCTAAAGGAGCCAGGCTAGCTGTGACGAGGGCCAGGGCCTTCTCTGCGGCGGCCCCGTACCAGTGGAACGAGCTCCCGGACAACATCAGGGCCATGCGGGACCTTTTACAGTTCCGCAGGGCCTGTAAAACGAAGCTCTTCCACCAGGCCTTCAACTAGGGTGCCGCCTCCTAACGTTATGGCCCCAGCCCCGAGATCAGCATCGATTTAATTTACTTTAATATCCAACAGCCTGGCGGGAGCCCAGTCTGTGGTGGTGGCTGACCGTCTGGATGCTGAGAGCACACCGCCACCATTTTTGAGTCCTTGGCCTCTATGTTACAAGTTAAATAAATAAACAAGGCAACCACTGTTTCAGAATGGTGGTCTCTATGCTGAGAGGTGGCCCTGCTACCGGACATCTGCCAGTATTGTGCCAAGAGGGTGCCCCCTGTTGTCGGGTGGGGTGGGGTGTTTGGGGTGGGCCACAGCTTTTCAGCCGCCATGAAATCGGCCACGCACAGAACGTCAGACGCACTGCGGAATGTGACGAAACGTGACCCAGTTGCCTGCGCCATGCCGTGATCCCCCGGGCCTGCCAGCCAGCCAACCAACCAATTCCCCTTCCTTCCTAGGGTGCTATAAACCTCCACATGGAAGAGGAAGTGGAAGACTTCTTGCTGAAGAAGCCCATCGTGTCATCTGACAACAGGAGAGTTATCGTCGTTTTCCATTGCGAGTTCTCATCGGAGCGGGGGCCTCGGATGTGAGTGCCCACGCATGCCCTCCATTCTCTCCTCTTCAGAGCCCGGCACCTTTGCGGGATGCCCACCTGCAGTGTTCCCTCTACGGCAGTGGTGGCGAACCTATGGCACGGGTGCCAGAGGTGGCACTCAGAGCCCTCTCTGTGGGCACGCGGGCCATCGCCCCAGCCAGGCCCAGACCATCATTAAAGTGTCGAATTCTCTGCCAAATAATTTTAAGTCAATGAAAGCATTTGGGATTGCTTTCCTTACTTTGTTTGGATCATCTTAATGTATGAGTTGTTTTTTCTAAAGTAAAACCTCAGTATTCAGGTTAAATTGCTGTGTTGGCACTTTGCGATAAATAAGTGGGTTTTGGGTCGCAGTTTGGGCACCCGGTCTCTAAAAGGTTCGCCATCACTGCTCTACGCTGAGCTAGTGTGAGCTAGCTCACAGTCTTTTAGCCTCCGGCTCACACATTTTTGTCTCAGCTGGGAAAGGATGGCTCCAGAGCAAACTAATTTATGCAGTAGCCAAATTGCTCGCTCACAACTGTAATGCCAGGAGTTCACGAAGCAGAATTTTTGCTCACAAGACTCCACAGCTTAGAGGGAGCATTGCCCACCAGGGGAGTGTGGTGGGAGGTGTTTATTATAGATTCATGCTTGGTTTGATGTGGTGGTTAAGTGCACGGACTCTAATCTGGGAGAACCGGGTTTGATTCCCCGCTCCTCCACTTGCACCTGGCTGGATGACCTTGGGCAAGCCGTAGTTCTGTCAGAGCTGTTCTCTCGAGGACAGTTCTCAGGAGAGCTCTCTCAGCCCCACCTATCTCGCAGGGTGTCTGTCGTGGGTAGGGGAAGGAGTTTGTAAGCCACTCTGAGACTCCGAGTGAAGGATGGGGTATAAATCCAATCTCTTCTCTTCTTCTTCTTCTTTGAGTTCTGCCAGAATGGTGGCATGTAAGCCTTCCCAAAAGTAACTATTGGCCCTGAGGAGTTTGTAAGCTGCTCTGATGTCTGAGTGAAGGGTGGGGTATAAATCCAATCTCCCCCTCCTCCCTCCTCCTTCCTCCTCTAGAAAGGTGGCATGTAAGTCTTCCCAAAAGTAACTATTGGCCCTGAGAGTGGGGGTCGCAATGGGAAGAGTTGGATGATGACTCGTGGATAGAATGGTTCGGGAAAGTCTTTTCTTAAATGGGTACCAAATTATTTGCTGTGGCAAAATGTATATACTTTTTGGGTCATCAGATCCTTCTTAGAGATAAAAACTGGAAATTCAGAAGCTGTGGAGAAAGCCAGTTTGTTTCCAGAAACTTTGTTAGCCACCCTGAGCCCGTTCGCAGGATGGGCGGGGTATAAATATAATAAATAAATAAATAAAATACCAAGACCAGTTAAAACAGCAACAGTTACAGATAAAGCCAGCAGATGATGGCGACAATCCAAATCCATCCAAATTATAACATTGGAAACACTGAGCTCTTTTAAGAATGAAGGGGGGGGCAGGCTTGTAGGGGAGGGGCTCAAGCCATTTCGTGCTTTCCAGGTTGAATTAATCACTTAAAACCTAGAATTCAGAACCTAAAAAGGTTAGTCAAGAATGGAAGAGGGCCAACTCTAAAAACCTAAGCTTTTAACTTAAGGAATATTTCATTGGGAACATTTGGCTATACAATCTCAGGAGAATTTTTAGTTGACCAGAGAGAAGTACTACTGGACATGTGATTGCACTGGAGGTTTCATTTGTATTTTTGCCCAGTGGTTAAACTTTGGAACAATTGGTTTCTGGTCTTTATTTTGTATATGTATAATTGTATATATTTTTACATGTTAGCCAACATGTTCTATTTGCATTAGACCTCTGAGGAAGGCCTGTGAAGACCGAAACGCGTTAGGTCTATTTCATCAGCCTTTGTATTTTTATATTTGTATATGAGGTATGAATGGGCCCTTGTTTGTTATTTTAATTTGTGTTTAATAAATACATGTATATTTTTGTATGCTTCATAATTAGGTTTTTAGAGTTATCTCTCTTCCATTCTTGACTAACCTTTTGAGGTTCTGAATTCTAGGTTCAGGTTTTTTCCCTTTTCCCTTTTTTTGTCCTTATGAATTAATCACTGGACATGCCTGGAAACAAAGCAGGCACCAGTGAAATGAGTTCTGTGTCAAGGAAGTGTGTTGCGAGCAGCTGTCCGCGACTAGTGGTCTGTTCTGGGGCAGTTAGTTTCCAATCTGTCGTCCGAGGGGTCCCCATATCAAGTGCCATCCTGCATGTAACTAGTGTGTGAATAATTCGCTGGGAGAACCGGGTTTGATCCCCCACGCCTCCACATGCAGCTGCTGGTGTGACCTTGGGCCAGTCACAAGTTCTCTCAGAGCAGTCCTCTCAAGAGCTCTCTCAGCCCCACCTGCCTCACAGGGTGTCTGTTGTGGGGAGGGGAATGGAAAGGAGTTTGTAAGCCGCTCTGAGACTCCGAGTGATGGACGGGGTATAAATCCGATCTCTTCTTCTTCTCTCTCGCTCCCCCCGCCGCAGGTGCCGGTTTGTGAGGGAGAGAGACCGTCTTGGCAACGAGTACCCCAGCCTGCATTACCCGGAGCTGTATGTCCTGAAAGGGGGCTATAAGGACTTCTTCTTAAAATTCCGGGTAAGTCTCATTTTATTTAGTTAAGAATCCTTCTCGCTTGCTTCTCATATGTTAGCTCAGTATCGGTCCCCTGTCCCCTCTCTCCAGTGCCCTCTGGCTGAGGTGCCTAGTTTCTCTCCCCTTCCCACTTTATCCTCCCGGCAACCTTGCAAGGGAGGCCCGGCTCTGAGAAAGAGTGGCTGGCGACCGGGAGTGTCATGAGGTTTGAGCTGGAGCCGTGAACCCTTATTTCCTTGATCTTTTCCGCATGCGTGTGTCTTCCCTAAACAACATCTCTTCTTGGCAAGAGAGTCATAACTCAGGCTAGGTTTTGAGTTCTCATGAAGGAGAACATTCGGGTTTGGGGGGTTCTTTTTGCAGTAAACTTCCCTGGCAGTCCTGTGGATAACAGCTGGCTTCTCGCATGTCTTAACAAAGAAACCCAACTGGACTTCCTTTGCACTGTTGCCTACTGATTTTGGATGGCCCTAGTTTAGTGGCAGGGCCCATGCTTCGCATGAGGCAGGTTCCAGACGGAATCCCTGCCTTCTCCAGTTTTAAAAGGCCCCTTGGTATCAGGTTCTGGAAAAGGTCTCTGGCTGTTGAGTTCTGGGGAGGAAGGTCCTGGGTTAGATGGGCCGGTGACCTCACTTGAAATAAGTTGCTCCACATATTCAGATAGCCACTGCAGACGGTGCTCCCAATTTCAGAAGCTGAGAAGCTGGTCTGATGTCCTCTCCTCTGGGTAGCTTTTGGGCAGCTTGGCAAACAGCTGGATGATTTTAATGGATCGGTGTGGGATGAGTTAAGACCATACATAAGAACATAAGAGAAGCCATGTTGGATCAGGCCAGTGGTCTGTCCAGTCTGTCAGTGATTGACAAGGTACCTAAGACTTGTTGCTTCTCCTCCCCCCGCCAGAGCTACTGTGAGCCGCAGGGCTATCGCCCCATGCACCACGAGGACTTCAGGGAAGACCTGAGGAAGTTCCGCACAAAAAGCCGAACGTGGGCCGGTGAGAAGAGCAAAAGGGAACTGTACAGTCGCCTGAAGAAGCTCTGAGATTCCTCTGCAGGGCAGCCGGATTCCACTCGCCTGCCACGCGGGGGCAGAAGGAGGACGTAAGCTGGCTTGTTGCCTGAGCCCTGCAGCCCGAGGGACTCCCTTGCTCCTCGCATGGCCTTTGCCCCGCTGCATCTTTGGATCCCTTCTGGCAAGGCTGCGTGGGAGCACTTGGGTCGCCCGCTCCACAGGCCCCGGCCCCGTTGACATTCCGCCCGTGGATCCGTGGCATCTGTGTGCCTCTCAAGACAATCCGTGTACACGGAGCTCCCACGGGGAACTGTCCGTGCCTTCTGGAGTGTTAACCATGAGATTTTAGTGTGTGTGTGTGTTAAAAGTGTCCCTTTTTAAATTTTAGTACAGTCAAATGAAGCTAATTTGCAGCCGTGGCTGAGGTATGCCTGGGTTGCTTCGGGGCCTCTTTCTGGGTAGAGCACCAGCAGGAGGAGGAGGCGGAGGTGGTCTTCACCGAGCTGCAGCTGGTTTCTTTAATGTCCTTTCCCGCCATTAAGTGTGTGGCGAGGAGGCCCGCTAGAGAGCCAGGGCCCGTTTTGCTTGGAGCATCAAGGTGTGCTGGGTGAGGCCTGCTTGCGGTCTAAGGGGAAGCGGCTTTGTCACGTCTTCTTCACTGCTCATTCTCTGATCTGGCTGACTTCACTTTAACAGCTTCCTAGGGAAGGGAGTCGGTGGTCTTCGAAAGGATACAAACCGGCTTTCTTGCGGGTGTCTCGGAGCATCGGGTGGAGCGCCCCCGCTCCTAGGGCAGTATGCCGGTTTTCAAAACGTCCTCGCCGCAGACACTTAGAGCAGTATCTGTTCTTCCAGGAGATGTGGTCGCGGCCAGCTCCTGGGAAGGTAATCCTGGCCTGGAGCGACCGCGGTGCTGTTTTCAGTCACTCTGAAGCCCAAAGTTTACTAGGCCCCCTCCAGCCCCAGGTTCCCATTCCGTGACCGTTTTAATCCGTGCCCACGTTCCGTTCTGGAAGGAGGCCATGGTGTCAGTGGGCTCTTCTCAGCTAATGAGGTTTTCAGAGGTCAATAACTGAATGCTAGGGAGGTAGTTACTGGATCTGACGCTCAAGGACCCCCCCACCCCCCCCGGCATCTTTTGCCGAGCGAAGGCTGAAGAAGTCCATTATCCAAGAACAGAGTCTGTTTTATAATCCAAGTGAAATTTCAGTTGTGTGTGTGTGTAGTTGTTACCCATGGAATGAAGGGGTTGCATCCTCAGCACCCACCCTATGAATCCTCTGTTAACCTTTCTTAGGTCCCTGCCCAGGTATCCCTTTAGAGGCCCTCAAACTCTGGTGCCGTGTGTGTCTCTGTCACTACACATCCTCTTAAGGTGAAAACGGTTAGGGTGGGGGGGGTTGTGGGGCAGGGGGGGCACACACACACACACCCAGTATTGTACATTCCACTTTCCTCACTGTTTGTTCTGTCTGCCTGCTTTTATAACCAAGGAGGTGGGGGGGGGGACATAAAATGAATAAGAAATGACTCTTGGTGGTTTGTAGTTTAACCATGGGTAGGAAACTGTTGGATTGCGTGTTTGTGCCTTGGTAGGGCAGCTTCGTAGTACGCTTTTAGGCCTGTTCTTTGTGCGGCTGAACCTGTCTTCTGTGGCTTGTTTGCGTGCTGCTCAGACAGTTGACCCCACCCACCCACCCCAACGTGCTTGGGAAGAAAACCCGGGGTTTCAATTGGCTGAGTAGCCTCGCAGATATTCCAGCTTCCGTTCCTCTTCCCAAAGGGCAGCTCCTGCTCGCGGTGGAACGTTCTGTGGCTGCCTTGCGGGCTCCTTCCTGTGAAGGCTTCCCCAAAGCGCTTCTTCCGCCTCCTCCGTGTGCGCTTTCAAGAATTCAGGGTTTTGTATTTGTTCCCGCCGCCTTCTGTCTTTTTAAATTCAGGAATGATGTTTGCTAAAGTCTGAAGCGAAGGGAGGGTAACCTGCTTTTAATGTATTGTGAATGTCTCGGAACAGGAGAGGGAGGCGGAAGGCCTGGGCTTGAAACTCATCCAGGCTCAGGAAATAAATTGCCCAGTACCCAAGGAGCGTTGTGCTTCCCTCTCCACCCCCCCACCCCCCGTTCCTCTAAGAATAGCTGGTGCTCGGTGTGGCCTAGGAAAGGGAGGCTCTTATCAACCAGCTGCCCTGACACTGAGTCCATTGCACCAAGAAATGTACCGTCCCATCTTTTAAGGGCCTACATTGTGAGAATCCCACAGCAATCAGTTCCCAACAACCTTCATTCAAAAGAGTAAAGTTTATTGAGTGCAGTAAAGGCAGGTCTTCTGTGCGTACATTTTGTGTTAGAACTACCAGAAAACACGCCAGCGGGGAAGCTACACGTAATTCAAAGGGGCCCCCTGACGACCCAGGTCCAATGAGAGCATCAGCAAAAGCCCACTTAAGCTAACAGGTTGACATTCCCAGGGGAAAGCAGTAGCAAGGTACCAAGGTCACTAGCTGAGGCTACATAAGTAAGAAGAGCATAAGAAGAGGTGGCGGTAGTTCTGCTCTATTCTGCTGTGGTCAGGCCTCACCTGGAGTCCTGTGTCCAGTTTTGGGCACCACATTTGAGGAAAGATGTTGACAACCTCGAGCGTGTCCAGAAGAGGACAACCAGGATGGTGAGAGGGTTGGAGTCCAAGTCTTACGAGGAAAGGCTGAAAGAGTTGGGTCTGTTTAGCCTGGGAAAGAGAAGGTTTAGAGGGGACACGATTGCAGTCTTCAAGTATTTGAAGGGCTGTCATGTAGAAGATGGAGCGGATCTATTCTCTCTTGCTCCAGATTGCAAGACTAGATCTAATGGGTGGAAATGACAAGGGAGTTGTTACCGGCTAAATATCAGGAGAAACTTCCTAACTCTGAGTGGTTGAGCAGTGAAACAGTCTGCCTCGGGAGGTGGTGGATGCTCCTTCGCTGGATCTTTTTCGAGCAGAGGCTGGATGACCATCTTCTGGGTATGTTGTAGGTATGTAGGGCTACCTTTTGGCTGTGCTCCTGCAGAGTGCAGGGGGTTGGACTAGATAACCTGCAAGGTCCCTTCCAAACATTCTATGATAAGAAACAAAACTTAAAATTCCAGGACAGCAGCAGACCAACATCTCTTCCCCCCCACCACCACTCCAGCCATGGCAGCAACACCAGAGGCTCGGCTGACATTCTGCCTCCCCGAAGATACACGCAGACACACACACCAGCTTGTTGTTGTTGTTGTTCAGTCGCACAGTTGAGTCCGACTCTTTGCGACCCCCTGGACCGGATCACACCAAGCCTTCCTGTCTTCCGCCGTCCTCTGAAGTTGGCTCAATTTCATGTTTGTTGCATCTATGACACTGTCTAACCATCTCATCCTTTGCCGTCCCTGTTCACATGACACTGATCAACCCATTCATCACGAGACGGGTCAAAGTCTTTCCACCAAATGAGATGCAACAAACGGCCACGTCTGGGGTTAGAGTCCAATATTTGGGCTCCCTCCTGATGGGGAGGTCTGCACAGACGTCTCCCGTATGGCTTGCCTGGTGACCTGAAAACACCTCTTAAAATGTAGCCTGAGTCTATTGAGGTGTGTGAGCATAAAGCACCGCTGCATGCATTCAAGACCGTTAAAAAATGCAGAATGTCATCACCGGCCTTGGGGTTAGGGCCCCCGACCCGTTTCCTGTGCTTCACACGGCTCTGCCGGGAGTCACTGAAAGGAAGCTGAGATTGTCTTGTGTATTTAATGCCTTTGTGCCCCAGCTTTCTGCCCGATGGGGACCCAAAGCCGCTTACGTCATTCTGTCCTCCATTTTATCCTCACAACAGACCTGTGCAGTAGGTTAGGCTGGGGCCCACGTGAGCTTCCAGTGGCGCAAGTGGGGATTCGAACCTGCGTCTCCCAGATCCTAGTATGACACTCTTCACCACCACACCACAAGAGATGCCTCCAGCAAATATGGAATTGAAGTAACAAGGGCGTGGTTTTTGCACAGTGGCAAAAGTTCGCTCTACCCAGGAGAAATGGGGAGCCTCCACATTCAGAGATAGGAGGCAACATCAGGGGAAGGTCTCGGCCTCTCTGCCCTGTTGCTGGCCCTCCAGGGGGACTGGCTGGCCCCTGAGGTTCTTCTCAGGGGAAGGCTTCAGCCTGTCTGCCCTGTTGCTGGCCCTCCAGAGGAACTGGCTGGCCCTTGTGTGAGACAGGAGACTGGACTAGATGGACCCTCACTGGTCTGATCCAGCAGGGCTCTTCTGAGGTTCTTCTCAGGGGAAGGCCTCAGTCTCCATGCCCTGTTGATGGTCCTCCAGAAGAACTGGTTGGCCCCTGTGTGAGACAGGATGCTGGACTAGATGGACCCTCCCTGGTCTGACCCAGCAGGGCTCTTCTGAGGTTCTTCTCAGGGGAAGGCCTTGGCCTCTACACCCTGTTGATGGCCCTCCAGGGGAACTGGTTGGCCCCTGTGTGAGACAGGAGGCTGGACTAGAGGGACCCTCACTGGTCTGATCCAGCAGGGCTCTTCTGAGGTTCTTCTCAGGGGAAGGCCTCGGCCTCTCTGCCCTGTTGTTGGTCCTCCAGAGGAACTGGTTGGCCACCGTGTGAGACAGGAGGCT